GCAGTGAATGTTAGACTGAATGATATTGTTAAGTTCGTAGACGTCTTTGTTCTTGGCCGCAAGAATAGTTCGTTCACTCAGCCAATCGTGATTCTTACAATTGAGCTGAATATTGGGAAATACTTTTTCAACCAATTCTTCTTTTGACGTCACTGAATTGCAGAAGTTATGAGGCAACGAAATTCGTCCTGAGGTCAGATCAACTGGCACCTTTAGTTCCCAATTTCCAGCAATTGATGTGAGACTATCTCAGCTGATCAATGGTTTTGCAGCTGGACACGCATATTTGTAGTTAATTTTAACGTCTTTATGTGTCGCCATGAAGTAGAGTATTTCAGGCAAGCATTTATTTCGTCCGCTGGTGTCGATCGAGGAATTACAGGCAATGTTTGCCTGAAATCTCCTGCAAGCAATATTAATGCATTCCCAAATGGTCTGATGTTTCCACGCAAATCTTGCAATGATCGATGGAGAGCCTTGAGCGATTTTTTGTGCGCCACTGTGCATTCATCCGAAACAATAAGTTTGCATTTCTGCAATACCCTTCCCATGCCTGATCCTTTGGAAATGTTGCACGTGGGAGATTCAATGAATTGCATGTTCAATGGCAATTTCAAAGCGGAATGAGCAGTTCTTCCACCTGGTAGCAATGTCGCAGCTATTCCGGATGACACAAGAGATAAGGCTATGTCATTTTGGGATCGAATTGCTGCCAGAATCAATCTAATTAGGAACATTCTACCAGTTCCTCCTGGCGCATCTAAGAAGAAGAATTCTGCAACCCCGTTATTGACAGTTTGCATTATTTGATCGTAAATGCCTTTTTGCTCAAGCATTAGCTTAGGAATATTTGATTGCACANTGTTTGGGTATGTCACGCTACAAATAACTTTACGCCGTATTAATTATAGCGAATCTTTATTGTAATTCACTTGCACACTTTACAATTATCGCCACTTGCAGTATTAGAGTTACTGGTTACACAATCTCTCGGCCAATACTTCTGTATCTCTTGGCGTCTAGGTTCCAACCTTCTTCAGCGGCAGCTATTCCAAGAGTGACTGGGCGAATGAATTCAACCCCCTTTTATACCCTCGGCTGCTGCTATGCAAATGAGCCTCTGTCATAACTGCGGAAACGCTGCTTTGTTGATTCCGTGATTCCTACGCAATGACCCATTGTTATTGCGTTGTCTCTTTGAGAACGCTCCGTGTATTCATCGTAACCGTGGAGATTTGATACAGTATCGCTATTGTTACTTCCTATGCAACCATCTGTTCTAGCGTTTCCATAGGGGTGACTCTTCTGAATTCTGAATTCCAAATTCCAATTCTGTTTTTCAAAAGAAGCATGTTTTTACCTGTCACAGGTGTGACAGCTATATAACAGGTATATAAAAACACGCGGGCATTCAAATGCAACGTTGTGTCAAAATTTCAAAGCAATCAGTTAAGAACTTTCAGAGATTTAGGATCCTGAAAAAACGAACATTTACATTTTTATTTATATAGATTTCAGGAACTTTTGGATTGCACCACGTATTCCAATGAAACGCAAAAGATTTGGTATAAAATTTTAAAAGCTTTGCGATTTTCTTGGCTATACTTATGACATGACAGTTTATTTAGGCAAACAAAGACAGTTTGTGACAGAAGAAATTACATCAACACATGGCATTGTTCTCCAGCTAATTTGAAGAGTAGAAGGCTTGGGACACAAAATTTACATGGACAATTATTTCAGTTCTCCTGCATTATTTGATGATCTTTTAGACAGGAAAATAAATTCGTGTGGCACTGTTCCCAATGATAGGCATGGAATGCCACAAGAAATTCGACCCAAGTCAATGAAATTGAAAAAAGAGGATATTTTTACAAGAGTCAAGGGACATATAAGTGTTGTTCATTGGAAAGACAAGCATGATGTGTATATTCTTACGAATATGCACCCTCCTCCATTGGATGGCAACTTCCGAGATGAATCTGGCCATCCTGTCAAACCCCATGTAATTGAAGACTACAATGCATACATGGGTGTTGTGGATAAATCTGACAGGATGGTAAACAGTTATGGCATTGCTCGGAGGACATGCAAGTGGACAAAGAAATTGTTTTTCCACCTTCTAGATATGACTATTCTAAATGCGTATCTATTACACAAGTCATGTGGTGGAAAAATGAGACACAAATATTCCGTGAAATACTGGTGCGGGATTTGATTCTTCATTCACATGAGGCGAATATCACAGTCAGTGGCATTTCTCGGGGGAGGCCAAGTTCATCTGGGGCCCAACTGAGTTGACTGAGGTGAAACATTCACAACACTGGCCAACCAAAGGGGAACAAAGACACTGTCTCGTGTTTGTTCTCAAAATAAGAAAAACTGAATCAGCACGCTCTACTATTGTAAAAAGTGTGATGTTGGGCTATGTGTGGTGGACTGCTTCGAGAAGTGGCAGACGCGCGTCAGAGTGTGAGGTATCGTAGTGTGAAGTGACGCAGTTCCAACTCGCATACAGTTTGAACAAAATGTTATTCTATATAGTGTGAATATATTTACAATATCACCATGATTCAAGGTTGAAGAAAAAACAACGGGTATGTCCTTTCAAATTGCATAACATATATAATAAAGATCATATTTTGCATTTCATGACAAAATAATCACAGTTAATTTTCATTTGTAAAACTTCCTCTTTTGTGTATATGTACTCGTATAAAATTTTATTGTCTTTCAGATTCTTTTTAGTTCATATTTCTATGTTGCATAGAACGGAAAATATGCATTTCTTTTTCTGAAAGTTAGCAATGTTAATTAATTGGGGCAATTTAAATTATGGCTGTACAGGGCTGCTGGCAATTTAAAAGTCAGTACGTTAAAGGTTGATAATGCTTGGGAAACTATTAAAGAGAACATAAAAATGTCTGAGAAAGAGAGTTTAGGTTCTTATGAACTGAAAAAGCATAAGCCATGGTTCAATGAATGATGCTTGAAATTATTAGATCAAAGAAAGCAGGCCAAATTGCAATGGTTACAGGATCCAAGTGAGTTAAATGGGGATAATCTGAACAATATAAGACGTGAAACCAGCAGGCATTTCAGGAACAAAAAGAGGGAATATCTGAAAGACAAAATTGATGAGCTTGCAATGAACAGTAAGAACAGTAATATTAGAGACCTGTATAGAGGAATAAATTACTTTAAGAGGGGTTACCAACCTAGCAGTAACTTAGTGAAGGATGAGAATGGTGATCTGCTTGCAGATTCCCACAACATTTTGTATAGGTGGGGGAACTACTACTCTCAGTTATTGAATGTACATAGGGTCAGTGATGTTAGGCAGACAGGAACCCATACAGCTGAGCCATTAATACCTGATCCTAGCCCTTTTGAGATTGAAAGTGTTATTGCAAAATTGAAATGGTATAAATCTCCAGGTACTGATCAAATTCTGGCAAAACTTATTCAAGCAGGAGGCGAAATATTACATTCTAAGATCCACAATCTAATTACTTCT